CTATGAGGTATAAACCTTTCCTATAGCAAATTTTTATATCATTAGGATAAAAATATTAATCACTTAGATACAGGGGTTAGCTCTCTAAATATGGTATAAATTTAATTGATTTAAAATGACTTATTAAGATTACTTTAAAATGATTCATAATATAGTAATCACTTCTTTAATTATTAAAAATTGAAGTAAAATATAATTTTCTAGGTACTGCACAAGAAAATCAAAATTAAAGCATAAATGATCAATGATAAATTTTATTATACTTGAGACAAACAGGTCACAATCACAGTCACAGTCCTCCCGTTGTTCATCAATTTTCTCGAGCGGGCCCAGTAACGTCTCCATCTTGAGACTTCTTGTTACTGTGTTTGGCATATCGAGTACGTCACGGGCAGCTTGCCAGGCTCTGCCATGCGGACAAGATACTCTTGGTAGCTTGCCGGGCTCTCCGAGAGGGGCGAAGGAATCAAACTCGAGTCAGCCGGGCTGGCTGCGTGCAAGGCAAACACCCTACCGCTGTGCTATTGCTCCAGTCCAAGACAAGCAGGTATTAAGATCAATAAAACTTAACATTTTAAACGATTTTAAACAGTGAAAAAAGTTATATATTTTTGAAAAAAACTTTCAGTTGGAAAATAATATGGCTTATTTAAACTAGATTATATAATGTATGCATTTAACTTGAAATAAAACATCTTGAAATTCATCTTGAAATTCATCTTGAAATGAAACATCATCACATGACCTCAAGGTATTTCACCTTTTCCCTTTGCTTGGAGGTTATAATCAGTGTTTGCAGTTTGCTTGTGAATTATACATCTTAACTATAGATTCAATCCAGCTCCTTTTAACATACTTGCTATGTGCCAACACATATCTACTTTAGCAGCTATATATGCTTGGCTTTTGTCTTGAAATTATAGTTTAGGATCACTATATAATAATCCTTTCCTTAATTCACTTCCACTTTTTTTCCATTATCCTATTTCTAACTTGATATGCTTAATTTTATGAACTTTTTTTCAGTGAATTTCATGTCAGTTAATAAGAAATCCATCCTGAATGCCTAGAAAAGTTCTTTTGGGTTAATTATATTTTATGATAAATTCTGTTTTTTAATTTTAGTAATTTGGGGCCTAACGAATTTGCATCGGAATTCATGGACTTAACTGAAATTTGGAATTGATTTTGAAATTATCTATTTCTATAACATTTAATGTCAGTCTGGTCAACATCAAATGTTGCACATAAAATAACATGAGATATAAATAAAAATAAGTAAATAACATTTTAAAACTATAATTCAGGATCAGAGCAATAATACAATGGGTAGTGTGTTGCTTTGCTGCCAACTAGGTTCAACCCCCAGCAACCCATATTGTTCCTGATCCAACCAGGAGAGACAGCTGAGCACAGAGCCTGGATTAAGCCCTGAACACCGCCAGGTGTGGTTCCAAAACAAGCAAACAAAATACAGTTCATCTTAACTCATAGGCATAACTTAGTCCAGTAATAATTTTATGCTAAACTAAGAAGCTATCTGGAATTTGCCCTTTCTAAATAGCATTCAAACAATATCTATGTTTTGCTGATTTTTTCACAGTTGAAAATTTTAAGGATTTCTCAGTGATTGTATCACTTTGTTTATATGTTCATCATATTCAATTTTGTGAGATAAGACAATTATTTTATCAGGAAATATAAAATAACTAAATATGAAAAATCTGTCTTTAAAAACATGTAATCATGTTTATTTGTTTTATTAGTGTCATTGATAATATCTATAAAATAAGCTCTTTTCAGAGTCTAGCATTTGTGTATGATTGTTTACTGTGAACTTTTGGGCCCTAATATCGTTTATTATACGTGATGTAAAATAGCTATGTTACATGAACATCTAAAATTTAACATTCAGCCCCACTAATTATAGACTTTCAGGTCCAGTCCTTCCTGGCTCCGAGAAAGTCGAGAGAAGGTTCTTATGAAATCTTTCACAATCTGAAATCATAAAAGTGAAAAGGCAATACTGTTATTCAATATAGAAAAGCATGTTTGGGAATTCTCAGGCCCTCTACGATAGCCCACCAAATCAAGAGAAGTTAAATAGTACTAATATGCATGAAAGGCAAAAATGTCTATATGTACACAGCCTGTATGAAGTTGTTTCTGGGGAAGGAACTTGGCCTTGCTGCTCTTGCTATTGCTACTCAGGTTCTAGCTCTGCCTCTAGAGAGGCTGCTGCAAAACACATATGAATTACCAGTTTCACTTTTCCCCTTCTGCCATAAAAACAAACATTTTGGGGGGATTTCTTTCAGTCAATAAAAGCAGGTATTAATAATATGAAGCTCGTGTAAAAGTGAAGTGGTGTACCACAAGCTTTCAAAGGAGGGGGTGCTTTTATGGGCTGTTTGATACTAACCTTGAAGGCTGAAAGTACAAAAGTTTGAAAGTACAGCCAGTTTGAGGAGTTTGGGAACAAAGTATGCTTAAATGATAGAACTGCATTCTCGCTCTCAGTTGAACACTCTAGGCTTAGCAACAGACTAGGAAGGAAAAAAAACTGGCATTTGTGTATGAGTGGGGAGGAACTCAGGGAGCTTTTTAAACATTAGAAAAATAACTGCGAAAGATTCTTCCCACAGACACATTTATCTGTCTGTGCATATTATGTGCTAGACTCCTGGCATCTATCGATGAATTTGAAAGTATAGGACTCCTCCTCAAGAGTTTATAGTCTACTATAAGAGCAATACTTAATATACATATGTATATATTTTTTAAAATAAACAAATGATATAATACATTGAAATAACTAGTATTGAGAGATGACAGATGAAGAAAATGTCTAAGGCAGCAATTTTCAACCTTTTTCCTTTTTTTGCTTCATTCCTATGCAGCACGACTGGTTGATCTCCTAGACTTATGCATGGCCCTTCATTTGCAGGATTTTCACCAATAGCCTCCTTGGCATATCTTGGGGGGGGGGGGGTCCACAGGAGGCTTTAGGACTCATGGTTGTGAGACATTGGCCTAAGGGACTAAGGAAATTCTCTTGTGGGACCAGAGAGATATTGCAGAAGTTAAGGCACTAAGTTTTGCATGCAGCCAATCGTAGTTCAATCCCAGGCACCACATTATCCAGAAGGCAATGTTGGCTGCATCCATGGAAGCCCCTGATCTCCTCAGGGTGTGGCCGAGAAAGCCCCCAAGCACTGTCTGGGTGGCCTCCAAATCTCTGGCACTGCAGGATCCAAACAGCACTGCATGATAGAGTCTTCATGGAACTGCCAGCCCAATTTGAGGAGCAGGAGGTCGAGAAGGATTCTGGCCTCCTGAGCACTGCTTGGGAGGCTCTGCTCAACCCCTACTGCCTGCAAATAAAATTCTCTCCTCAGAGGTGGTCTTATTCTGAAACATCAGAATCAAGCTTGCAGAGAGGAACAGAGCTGTCCTGATGAACGGACAAGAGCAGATTCAAGATCTAGAAGTAGAAGAAACATCCGGTAAACTGACTGAGCTTCTTGCTGAAACACAGTGAGAAAGGGAGAGAAAGATGAATTAGGGAAACCAGGAGACTACTAGTGGTGCACATCTAAATGCCATTTATATATAATTTATATATTATATGTATTACATACAAGTGAGCTCATTAATATGTTCATATATATGAAACAGGTTATTTTTATTCCACTTTAAGGCTCATAGTTGTATGCATCATAATAAGGTAAAAGGAGACAATTTATATCATATCCCTTCAAAATTCAAGTGTTTATGCTAAGATACTAAAATATCTAAGTGAAGAAAATGAAACTTTCCCCCCAAATTTTACCCAACAGGGTCAACTTACAGAATCATTTTCTAATAATTTTTTTCTATGCTAAGAAACATGAGCATAAGAAATTTTCTTTAATATCTCTGTCTATCACCTTCCTTTCTTTTTTCTTTAAACATCTCTTGAGAAAAAGAAGGAAAAAGAATTTGTGACACTGGCAACAGAGAAGATGTAAGGTGAATGCACGTGTAGGATATACAGATTCACATCCCTCCCAGATCAGGAAAGAGACCCGGCAACAGCATGCGAAAGGAATTAAAATGCTTGTCACCTAGCGGATTCAGGCAGGGAGCAGTCTTTAAGACCCAGTAGCATAGTATTTGTCTGGAGAGGAAATGTTGCTTTTTGACAGATGAGAGAAATCCCCTCAGTGTTGGCTGTGGGAAGAGAGAGAAGTGAAGTCAGTCACCTGGTGGTGAAGGCCAGTAAAACAGCAAAGCCTGAGCCTGAGGAAAATTTTTCTCTCCCTCTCTCCGGCGCTCTCTCTCTCTCTCTCTCTCTCTCTCTCTCTCTCTCTCTTCTCCCTCTTCTCTCTCTCTCTCTCTCTCTGTAGGATCCACCTCCTATTCTCTCAACTCTCTCTCTCTCTCTCTCTCTCTCTCTCTCTCATAACCTTCAAAGGAGAACGTTCCCTTTAGACTTTATTATCTTCTTCTCCCCACTGAGAGAATACCTCTTAGCTGCAAGACATTTTTTAAGTCTATGCAGGACTTGGGGGATTTGGTGATCTTGCCGGGGAAATTGATCATTGCTAAAGCCGGGGACTCACAGTGTGCTAAATTAGCTACCGGAGTAAAGCCCGGCGGAGGAAGGCTTTTATCACAGACTCTTCTCTCCAGTTTGAACACATTTGCTTGAAATTTGCCGCATGATGCTGTCCAGGGAAGCCGCTTTTTTTCTTGGGATGCAGCAATCCGCTGGTTTCTAAGCTTATTGCAGAAGAAATAATCTTAAAACAGTGCATTTCCTACACACCCCCACCCCCCACCCCGGCTTGATTCGACTGAGCTGCGTTGGGCGCCGCGGTCAAGATCTTCTTCACCTGTCACCAACATCTTCGGAGGAAGTCAAACAAAGTGAATTCTGATTGATTATTTATTTATTTGTATTCTCTCCTCTCTCTCTCTCCTCTCTTTTTTTTTTTCCCCTTTCCACGGGTGGAGGCGGCGCGACCACGGAGAATGAGACTGAGAGAAGCTGCCAGGGCTTGGAGGGGGATAAAGCTGAGTTTAGGCTGGAAACTAAAAGACTAGATTGTTTGGGGGTGCAACTTGCCCGGCTCCTCTGCACTTCGCTTAGTTTCGCTCCATGGACAGATGCACCAACCTGGACATTGAGGAGCTCAAGGTACGTGACGGTCCAGGCGGGCGCCGCCGCGTCCCTGCCTGCTCGCGCTCGCTCGCTGCCCGCCGGAGTAGTTGGTGGCCCCGTGGGCCGGCGGGTGGGCATCCGGGGGCGCCGCGCGGCGTGCCCAGGCGCCGGCGCCCCCTCTAGGGCCGAGGATGCCAAGGGCGGTTGGGCTCCCTCCCCGCCTGCTCCTCCCGACCACCCGCATCTCGTCCTCGCCCTCCTCCTCCTCCTCCTCCTCCTCATCATCATCACTTCCAGCAGCACCTGGGGGCTGGGGGGGCGGGGGGGGTGGGGGGCGACCGGAGCCTCCCGACGGCCCCGCAAAGTTGCCCGAGCCGCCGGCCACTTCGCCCCGTCCCCGGGGGGCTCCTCCCGCCCCGTTTCCGCTCGCGGATTCGCACGAAAGGGGGCGTCAAGGGGGCGCGGGCTCTGCCCCGCGCTGCCCCTCCCCCACCCCGCCCCCGAGCGCCCCAGGGCACCTGCCCGCGGCGCCGCCAACTCGTGCTCTTGGGTCTCGGCCACCCGCCGCATCCCGGGACCCGAGGGGTGTCCGCGCGGCCCGGGCCGGGGGCGCGGGCAGGGGCGCGGCGGGGGCGGGGCAGCGCCTCCCCCGCCGCCGCCGCCGTCGGACCCGCGCGGTCCCCGAGCATCCTCGTGGCTGCCCCCCGGCCGCGCCCTCGGCCGCCGCCGCCGCTCCGAGCCGGGGGCTGCCCGCGGGAGCCTCTGCCTAGACAGGTGCCCCGTTGCCCGTGGGTCACGCAGCCTGCAGGGCCCGCGGTTGGAGTGGCGGTGGCTGCTTCCATACAGAGAAAAAAAAAAATCAACAACAACATCAAAGCTGCACAAAACTTAGGGGAAAAGATCAACAAACCACACATTTAAATGTCCCGCTCCCTTTAAATTAAAAGGCGGTAAAAGGGGCGATTCTGCGAGCAGCCTTTGCTTTTCTCCTCCACCCTTTCCGATCCCTGGGCATTTCCCACACTCGACTGTATTGCTTTTAAGAAAAGGGCGATGCATTTATTTTTAAAGTAGCGACTCGGTTCAGATGGATCCTGTGTTCAGGTGTGAGGACTTTGAAACACCCCTACCGGCTGGGGACACTTGACTAAGGGGAGGTTTGCTCATTTGCTGGAAAATGCATTTGCTGGTGAGCTGTGAGTGCTAGAGAAATTCCCTGTAGAGGGCAAAAGTCTGTCTTGTAAGCTGCCCTTTGCCCTGGTCTTCCAGTGTGCCCAGCCCGGGAATCCGGTCGCGCAATGTGTACCACACATTGCCTGGAGCTCCAAATTGCATAGAAGAAGGAATGCGGTGGGTTTTGCATTGGGGGGTGTGTTATGGGCTACAGGTGGAGGTGGGGTGGAGAAAATATGAGCAGAGGAACTTAGATGTCACATTTACTGGAAGAAGTGAAGTGTGGTTGAGGCTGATTGTTGCCCGATATAAAGGTGGGGAACAATTTTCTGAGTGGCCAAGGTCAGAATCTCTAGACCTTGGCCTGGAATAGAGATCGTATGCGTCTCCTATTTTCTCTGTACTTGTACTAAGACAGAATACATTTGCCTCTGTGTTTGAAAGCATCTCTTGGATCCATTTCCCACACATTCCAGAATGGGGGTGGGGGGGGGAGGGTTTCACTTGAGATGCAAAGAAGAACCCAAAAACAGAACAAGGCTTGTGGTGTATATTTCATGCGGATGCATTTTCTGGATTATTATTGCTCTTGCTATTTAAATGGAGGGTATGACACAAGGAAGGAAAGGATTTTCTAATGAGAAATGCAGGAGGAAATGATTTAAAGTGATCATTTCCCCTGATAACCCATTAGTCTCCTTCTAGTCTATCCCCTTCTGAACTACTAAATTGTTTAAATCAGCAAAAGAGCAAATCCACCGTGGAAACTTCTGTATAGTTTAATAGAAGATTCCAGCTTAACCCCCTAACAACTACGCATTAATTCAGGGCTTCTCCATCCAGGCACGCTAGACTTGTGGTGAGCTAGCAACCAAGGGTGGAAAGGCTTGGGGGAGTGTCTTGGGAAGCAATGAAGACATCAGAAGCAAAGATCTGTTGCGGTCGCTGAAAAATTACATCAGGTTCAAGTTACTCTTGGGAGTCAAAATTAGCCAGAGAGGTAGCCCCGTCTTATTAGAAAATGTCTAAGGATCTCCTATTTTAACGGGGGAAAATTAGAGGACTGCCAGGTATAAGAACACTTGGCAACACAGAGACTTTGGTTATATGTAACAAATGTGTGTGTGTTTGTGTGTATATACATTATACATATATATTATTGGAGATGGCTGTACTACATGTGGAATAACTTGTTTGAACTTTCATCAGCATAATCCATTGGCTTGTGTTCGGTGAACAAATCCAGTTGAAGTTGTTTTCTGGTAGCTTTGAAGAGACTTAAATGCTATTCAGTTGAGAGAAGGTAGAAAAAGACCGGGGACACTCATTTTTTGGCATTGTTTCCTTGTTGACTTTTCCAAAGATACTTGCATTGAGACACATCTACATAAAAGCTTTAGTTTTTATAATGCTTTAAATTCATAAAAAAAGAAAAAAAACAGTGCTCACTGGGGGTGATAAATATGCATAATATTTTTAAATACTTTTAAAGCTCGTTTAAAAGCTTTATCTAGCTTTAGATCACTTAGTGGATTTATTAGCTAAAACTGCTTCCCTCCGGTTTTAAAATAGGAAAATTTTATAAATTCTTTATTTTAGCTTGCTGGATATTACGCTTTCCTTAAAATATTTTATTAAAATATTTTAACTTCTGGATGTTTAGCATTGATTTTTCTATGTTGTTTAGTAAATGCTATGTGCAAGTTTTTAAACTAAAAATAAGCTTGAATAATAAGCTTTAAACCATAGCTGTCATTATCATAAAACTAAACAAAATATGAGTATTAAACGATTTGCTGGTGGGAAGTAAGGTACAGTTATGAGTTTAAAACTTACAAATGAATGCAAGCACATTTTCTTTTCTGCATACCAGCTTCTAATGAAACGGGTCAGTGTTGAAAAGAGAGCAAATTCTCCAGCAAAGAATTTGATTTGTTCTTTTTCCTTTGATGTTTATGTCTTTCTACAATACGTATATAAAATATTCTCTGGACTTTAGTGTGTGTTTTTTATTTAAAAAAAAAAAGGTAGCATCAAGCAACCCTGAATATGGGCTATCACTCTGGAAACATGAGTGTTAACCAGTTGTACTGTTGTTAGAGAAAGCACTCTCTACCTTGGAATATTGAGTTATATAGTACTTTTAGTAGTTGATATATTAACTAAAGCTTTTATTTTAGCTCTGTAGTTGCCTCTTAAAAAGTTAACTTACATACTGGGTCAGAATATGCCACTAATTTTAAGAGCTGAAACTTAGAAGTTTGCTTCTTCCTGTGGTATTGATAAAATACATTGAAGTTGAATAATTGATTATATTTAAGCAATGCATTTGACTTCGGCAACACTTTCACTCCCTTGGAAACATGGGTTTTAATTTACCTTTAATAATTGTTCAGTTGTGAAATGATTTCAAATGCAAGGCATATATTTGTATGTAATTTACTTTGTATGATTTGCTATGAGACTAAAAGTATAAAATATATCAAGAGTGTAGTACAGTTTGTACAGTCTTATTCAATGTTCCAATGGTTATTTGTTAGGATTGTTCTTTTAGTGAGATCAAATATTTTGATGTTTCCTAGATTTCCAAAATACAGTGAAACTTTTCTGCTACTTGCATAACACAAATAATACATTTCCGGAATATTTTCTTAATCATTCATGTGTAAAGTGCAAAAACGACAATCTACAGTTATTCTCAAGATACAAAAACAGCATTTAAATAAGTATAATTGCTCTTGTTTGAGTTAATTAAATGTGGCCTATTTAGTCTTCCTTCGCTTTATTTCTTTAAATAAAATTTTACATACCAAGATTCTTGGAACTTGTCCTAGATTGACCAGAAAAAAATGCTTCCTTGAATAAACCAATTAGGTTATTAAGAAAGCATTGCTTAGGTCAGAAATGATAATCTAGCAAAAAAAATGCATAGGTGTTTAAGCAAGTAAGTGGTTGACTCAAAAATGCTGAGGTCTGGGGCTGAAGAGATAGTACAACCAGTAGGGCACTTGCCTTAAAAGCAGCTAAAGAGGGTTTGATGCCCGACATCCTATATGGTCCCCTGAGCACCACCATGAATAATTCCTGAGTGCAGAGCCTGGATTAACTCCTGAGCATAGTCAAATGTGGCTCAACCCCATCTCCCTCCACCCCGCAAAAAATGCTGAGGTCTTAAACCAAGTTTTATAGTATATTCTTCAACAATTTCAAATAAGAGAGTTGGCACTTACATGAATTCTAAAAATGTTTTTCTGTTTCATCAATAAGACACGGAGCTCAGGAAAGTCAGGCTTGCTGCAGTGTAGGAGGCTTTGTGATGAGTGTAAGTAGGTGGTTTTTTTTTTTATTCCATAGTGAAAAATAGTACTCTCTAACAAATGTCATATTTTTAGCATCCTGTCTTATGTATTCATTTTGGGGGCTTAGAATAAGGACACATTTTTATGAATATTGAATTATTTGGTCTCTCACATTTAAAGACATTATAACCTTTCCATTCAGGTGTGGTTCTGATTCTCTTTTGACAAGAATTAGTCAAGGATTAGAAATAGTTAATCTTGATTATTCCATATGGATTTATTTTATTGAAGTTGAAATTAACAGTAGTAAACCATTATTTTGTTCATTTAGGAGAGCTGAGAACACATTTTCAATATGAGTGGAAAGAGAATTAAGAAATACACATTTGAGGAAGATGTTGCATTTCACTATTTTAAGAATCTTCTGTGGCCTGCTAGCATCACTAAGCATATATTGAAATCTCTGGACTAGCTATTATAGCTATGCTGAGCTCTAGATTTTACCAGTAGAAAATATATTAAAATTAAAGGTACAGTAAAAATACATATTTCAAAATTTATTGA